TTGTGGGATATAGTTCATCTGGCGGAATACCTGTCTTAAGTGCTTTTAATGGCTTCTGAACAGTTAACATATCGAATTCTCTTCCAATGGTAATATGTTTGAAACATTTCACTGGTGAATACACTGCCAAAAGTGATGTATCCCTGCTCAATTGGTGCGAGTTTTCGAGGGTAGAGAGGGAAAGGCTAAGGAGTTTCATCAACAGACCGATAGAGTGCACCACTCAGAGTTGGTCAAAAAACAAATATTACCATCTCAATTTTGACGTACCGACAGGGTAGTTTCAGCGTTCGAAAATGCGCTGTGCATCCTCAGGTATAGAGATGTCCTTTTCGAATTTTAAGATATTATTTCAACTGATTCAGCATTTTTGCTCAGTTCGGAATGAAGTAATAGTAAAAATTTACCATGCCGAAAAACTACTTTAAGCCTTTGTGATACGTGTAAAAAGAAATTCTTTGATTCTCTGGACTCTCTCTTGACTTTGTAACGTGCAGTGGGTCTTCTATGTCTGAGTGAAGTCAAGAAATCAACGCCATAACACTTCCAGGGAATTCTCCAGATTGTGGTGGGACATTCTTACAAACTGCAAATTTGTGCTGTTCCGTATTGTCAATAGCAATTGGAATATCTTCAATGTAACTAAAACTTCAGTCTAGACCCGAGGCAAGCTTGTCCATCAGCTTTTGGAATGTATGTGGGCATTGCAAAGCCCGAATAGCATCTTAAATTTGACAAGCCGAAAGGCATGATGAAAAATGTCTTGTTTATGTGATCTGGATTCACAGGAATCCTTAAGTAGGCAGCTTAGAGGTCTGGTATAGTGGAAATATTTATGCCCTTCTACGCTAGAATGCTGTTATTGACATGTGATATCTCCGTGGAATCGTTGAAGCATTGGATTTTCTAGAATCACCACAGGGCTCCAATCCTTTCCTATCTTTCCTTGAGCGGAGATGCCAAGCGCGTTTTGATTGTCTTTTTAAAATTGAAGACCAAGTGATCTGTGGCCTCGATGTCGTCCATGACTGTGGCTAGTTGGACCTCTGTAAATGACAGGTTTAGATATTGAGGAAAACTCGTTCGGGAGACCATTCCAGGTTAAATTACCCGTTCTATACTTTCTGAGTGATTGGTATCATAATGCTGATTTACATGGGTCCAACGATCTTGTAATTCAGCAATAAGTCTGTTATTGACTGTATCGATACAAAGTTGGTGTTTCCTAGTAAAATCATTGCCTAGCCTAGCGAAAGGTAGATCCTTCACGACGAAAATCCTCATAGGTTGTCTTTTGAAACCGGAATATATGCTGTCTTGGTGGCAACCACTGAGTAGGATGGAGGATCTTAGAATTTCGCCTCGACCGCTGCGCGACGAATTTAATTGGTTTAATAGCTGACTTCAATGAAATTTTTTTGTCGTTCTTTTCTTTCATATACAAAGCGAAGTCGACTATCGGGTATTGATTCTTAAAAGGATGTTGCCGATATCTGTCGGGCTCTTAGATACCTCATATATGATAACTTTTGGTAATATTTCTGGTAACTTCTCTACGTATGTGAGGGAGTGCAGCAACTTGAGCGAAGTCCGAAATTTTGGTACTTAACACTCATCCCAGGCTTTGACGATGATAACTTGGAAGCAATTATGCCCTGGGATTTGTGGTAAGAAATGCTCATAAAATTGCAGTTGAATTGCATGAAGTTTTAGTATTTTCCCTATGTTTGTTTTAAATTCGTCTGTGTGTTTGCCCCTGACGGTTTCGAACGTATTTGCGCATGGAATAATTAATTTCGTCAGATCATCTGTATCTTTTGTGCCTCTTCCAAAATTTGGCCACTGAAAGACTTAAGTGATCCGGACTTGAACTAGAATCTTTTCATCCTTAGGTTTCATGGCATAGGTTATATTTGAGGATCATAATCAAAGTGCTGGTTGGAATAAGCGTGTTAATAGAACTGATGGCATCTGATCTTCTAAGACTCCAGTTCCCAATTAAAATTCCATTATATGTCGCTCAGAATGCGTGAGTTCGACTATCCTTTGCTTAACTTTTCATAACAATTTTGATCTTGTCTATTGGGTAGAATATGCTGTGTAATTGAAGATATGAAGACCAAGATGTTGTGGCCTCTGGTATGGTCGCAATTTCCTTTTGATTTATATTAGTGGGTTGACCTCGTTGTCGCAACTTGCAAGAGTGATCAGGGCTACTTAGTGGAATGCACATAGTCCGTAGTCGTCTACCATAGTAGTTGTGATTCACAGCATCAGCAATTAGACTTGGTACATTCTCAAACGTTTCACCGGCATCGTAGTCGGCATTATCAGTGAGCTTTGCCATTCTGCGCACCAATCTACGAACTCGTAAAAGAGACAAATGAAGTCAATCCCTCGACAAACGTCCTGGCCTATCTATCTACTTTTTACCCTCTTATCCACTTATCACTTGTTTACATTCCACTCGTCAAAATGTGTGCCCTTTTGTGTCAAATCTAGTGTGGCCTCTTCATACTTGCTATTCACCCTGACCCCCTCTATCGATCGGCTGATCCGACTTAGGTCTCTAATCGGGATCCCCTCATTGTCTCGTAGATCCGCTCCTTCTCTTTCTGGTTCACCGATTTCACTCGGTTCTAGCCCCTGTGTGCATTTCACTCCAGACGCTATTTCTAAAGGCCCTAGAAGCACGTACACTGCCGCTTTACTGAGCAGAGCGCTTAAGCTCTTATTGCCATGCTTGCAGATATCAGGCCTTCTTTTTACGGGTCCTCTCCTGGATTAAACCAATGTTGCCAATCAAACTGTGGACGGCTATCTCTAATCGCATGCGGCATCTCTATTGTATTTCTAGTACATTTTGGCCATTACGCTGAATTTCCGTGACGGTTTGCTTATTCGTCTTGCCAGCTCCCTCATTGCCAGGCCCACAAAGTTGTACTGGTTTATTCTAAATGGACATCACTTACTGACAACGTCGCTTAATTGCCGAATACCCCTGCCCCCCACTCTCTTTCTCGCGATCCTTTTTCCTCCGGTTACCGATAGATCCTTGATCCAGACGTCTTCTTCTGGCTGGTCTTGCTCTATTCTTGTTTTCCTCGAGTTTGCTTAGGCAGTAGGCAAAGTTATCGCTAACTCTACCCTCCTCCAATCTCCTGTTCATTAGCTTTTTCTTTCCAAGTATATCAATGGCCCCCCTCATCTTCGGCTTCCTTGTGTTGTCACCGTATCGGGCTCTTTTTTCTGATGCCTTTCAATTGATCTCGTGTCCAGTCTGTGCGATGTGTTCCGCTAGTTTTTTATCTTTCGTTATCCATTTTTCTGCTGAGCCTTTGATGTTCCTTGATTCGTGTGCTTATTTTTCTCCCTGTTTCGCCAATATATTTCTGTTCGCAGGTGCTGCATGATATACAGTTAACTCTTGAACAATCCAATTTATCCACCTTTTCATGTTGCGTCGGTATACATTTACAAAGTGTTGATTTCTCTTGTATGTCCACCTGAATCTTCCATTTACTCAATATTGGCTATAGTTTTTGAGTTAGTTTGCAGGAAGGTAGGCACATCAACTTTTGTGAATCCTTCGTCGTCCTTACTGTTCTTTCATAGTTATCTTTCTGCCATCGGCTTTTCATGGCGCTTAGGTTTCTTTGTATCACATCGCTTGGGTAGCCATTGCCGAGTAATATCCTCGTCAATTTGTCCAGCTCCTCGTCGCAGAATTCTACATCCGTTAGACGTAGGCTTTGGACGTTCATGTTTCTCATTTTCCCATCCTTAACCTGTAATTGTGATGGGACCGGAAATTGAGTATTATCCCGGCATAAGACTTCTTTCTGAAAAATTTCTTTTTGAGCGTTCCATTAGAGCGAATCATTTCAACGTCCAGAAACGGTACCCGTTTACCTTCCTCTTCTTCCATTTTCAATTAAATTTTTC